CAGAGCACGGTGGGGATGTATCAAAAGGACTCAGCTACACTAGCCACATCGGGGACCATTTGAGCATCAGAATAAATCATAATACTAATAGATTATAACCCGCTGAATTCCGTTAAGTCCGCACTGGTTTAAACAAACGGGGAGAAGAAAATATTCTTCTTTACAGTAGAACGCCGACATCAAGTGCAAGATGGAATTACTTAGCAACCGCCGCAGAAATAGTTAATTCAAGAAGCAGTAATAGACCTTAGAGAAAACAGAGGGAAGCAGGGTGAGGAGTGGGAGTGTCTAGTTTCCAAGTATCACCCCACAAAGAGTCACACATCACAAAGGGGAAAAAGCTCGTAACTTCGCATAAATCTACGGCGGTCCCCATCTTAATCGACCGACATCAACGCCACCAATCCGGGGGCACGTGGACACCGCAGGCCCCCAGACAGGCTGCAGCGAGCAGCACACAGCACCACTTCTGTGACAGTCTGGCGCAAAGTGCACAACGCAGGTCACATCACGAGGAGACATCAGGTGAAGCGGATGTCCCATAATCCTCCATGGTGCCAACGTCCCGAGAGCTGAGGCACGGCCAGTGAAGCAGTCTAGAAACAGGCCCACGTGGTTGCCTGTCCCCAAACAGATGCTCCGCTCTACAAAGAACATCACAGATCGACTGGTGAAGCCTCCCAGGTCCAGCCCAGGGAGGCCAGTAAGTGGAATTCTTTCTATTCTGGAAAACTCTCAGAAAAGGTTTGGAAACAAGAAGGCCATGGGAAGTCCCGGGAGTGCCAGATGATTCTCCTGGGGTGTCTGCCACGGGTGACCCCTGCCTTTGAGACAGTCCCTCTGTGACTCTCGGCCCATCCCCACAGGAAGCCAGGGGTCCCCCAAGGGCCCTTCCATGTGGGAGCCCCTGGGAGTCCCTTCACTAGGGAAGGCCTTGAAGGCGGGATTCAGGCAGCTGAGGAAGGGAGGCAGGATGGGTGGTGCGCACAGGCAAACGAAGGCTTAGGGGTGGGATGGGGCTGGAGCAGCTGGAGGGCCCCCAGGCCTGCCGCCCCACACCCGGCACAGACGCCAGCTGCTGCAGGAAGAAGAGGGGCATCAGGCGGGTGTGGCCAGCATGTGGGCTGGGTGCTGGCGTGTGCGGGTGTGCCAGCAGGCCCATGTGTGCGGCCCAAGGGGGCCTGGGTGTGAGGATTCCGGGAGTGGGGGGAGTGCTGGGTGTGCACGTGTGTGTGGGACTTGGGTATGTACATGTGTGAGTGTGTGGGGGCCGGCCACGAATGTGTGTGGGGACCAAGGCATGTGTACGTATGTGTATGGGGGGGCTGGGTGCAGATGTGTGTGAGAGAGGACCTGGTGTGTATATGAGTGAGCATGTAGGACCTGGCAGGAATGTGTGGGACCTGAGAGTGAGTGTGTGAGGGTGTGGGACCCGGCAGGAGTGTGTGTGTGCATGTGTGTGCAGGGACCTGATGTGTATATGTGTGAGGGTGCAGGACCGGGCGTGAGTGTGTGTTGGACCTGGGTATGTATGTGTGAGGGTGCGGGACCAGGTGTGAGTGTGCTGCGAGTGCGGGACCGGGCGTGAGCGTACAGGACACGGCGCGACACGTGTGAGTGTGTCCAGCCCCTCCGGGTACCGGCAGCACGGCGCCCTCTAGCGGCCGCAGCCAGAAGCCGCGTGTGAGGAAGGGAACAGGAACGTGGGCCCTACGGTCCCGAAGGCGGCGGAGAGCCCAGGGCAGACACGACGGGTGGGTGTGGGAACTTGAGGAAGGGGCAGCGGGGAAAACCGGAGGGGGGGACAGAGCAGCCGGGCTGCATTCCTCCCGCGGCTCTCCTCAGGGAGCAGTGGGTCTACAAGGCTGACACTGACCCTCTTAGGTGACCGAGGGCACTGGCTTCATACCACACAACGGGGCTGGCCTGGCCCTTCAGCTAGCGGAGCCTCGAGACCTTCCAACCCCCCTCCTCCAGTCAGCGCTGGCTCAGGCCCCTCTGCCAGGGACACACCCTAACCCCCCACCCCATTCTGAGGTCTACTGTCCACAAAGCCAGAGAAAAAGGCCTGGGCACCCCCTCTGTGCTGGCGGGGGGCCTGGACCCCATCCTTGGGCGGCCGCTCTTCAGAAGGTAAAAATGCATGTACCAATGCCCCTGCCCTGTCTGGGCCTCACTTTCCGCCTCTACAAATGGGAAGCGGGGCCATTAAAATCTCTGTGTCGGTCAGGAGGGAGCCAGGACCAGCCTCCTGGGGCTGTTCTGGGGACCGCACGTTCCTAGGAAGCAAGTTCCAGGGGCTGGGGGGCTAACCAGGCCGCCCCCAGGCCTCATGGCCCCCCTGGGTGGCCCCCTCCCGGCCTCCGCTGGCCCCCTTCCAGCGACTGCAGAGCCCAGCCGAGCTGTCCACAGCTTGGAAACCTTTCCCCTCTTGCCCTGGACATGAGACAGGCTTGGTCAGGGACAAGAAGGACGATGGTGGTCAGGTAGCAGAAAGCGTTACTATCCCCAATTTTGCCCCCCCCCACAACTGGCCAAAGAGCAGGTACACGGCGCAGGTGGGGAGAAAGCCCCACCCAGGCAAAGCCAGAGGGCAGGGCCCAGATGGGCATGTCTGCCCCTGCCTGTCCCACCCTCACAGCCACGGACACCACCACCCGTGCCCACCTCCGCCTCTCCTGTGCCTTCTCCCCCAGGCCCCTCTGCGTCCCTCCCCAGTCTCCTGGGGGCCGACATCCGGGGGGCCAGACTAGACTGCTGGGTGCCGACACCGCCCCAGAGAGAGGACACAGGCGTCCCATTCAAGACGGCGAGTGGTGAAGGGGCTGGAGGCAAGTCGGGCCCTGCCCACTGTGGGGGGGGGGGCAGAAACCCGCACAACCGACTCGGAAGTCGCGTGCCATCTGGTGAAGCTGACCCTGTGTGTTCCCCACGACGCGGCAATTCCGCCTTAAGTGGATCTACCCTTCAAGGACTCGTGCCCATGAAACACGGGTCAGACGTTCCTGGCGGCACTTCAAAGAAAGGTTAAACCAGGACCCACCCAAGTGTCCTTCCCGGGGGAGGGGAAGAGAGAGGCTGTCCTCACCATGGAGGGTGAAGCAGCTACGGGCCGGGTGAAACAGGAAGTAACAGCAGTTGGATAAAGATCAGCCCGGGAAGACCGACTGTGTTCTTGAGGGAAGCCGACCGCACGGGAGAGCCACGGAGAGTGCCACGAAGTGGACCCCACTCAAGCTGCCACGGAGGTCTCTGGTGTCCCAGCCCCATGGGGGCCGCAGAGCACAGGGCTGCTCTGGCTCTGGGTTGGGGTCTGGTGTGTCATGAGTGCCACCTGCAGGGAACCGGGAGAGGTGCAGGGACCCCCCCCCCCCCCCCCCCCCCCCTGCACCGCGCCGATGCCAGCCGGGAAGGTAAGCAAGAACTTTCCAGCAGCTACATTAACAAAAATCTAAACAAGCAGGTGAAATTAACGTAAAATANCCCCCCCCCCCCCCCGACAGAAATGCACCGCGCCGATGCCAGCCGGGAAGGTAAGCAAGAACTTTCCAGCAGCTACATTAACAAAAATCTAAACAAGCAGGTGAAATTAACGTAAAATATTAGCGCCTGGGCATGTCCTCAGTATAAAAAATCACCCATGAGTTTTTTCACATTCTTTCTCTACTGTTCAGTCTGTGAAATCTGTCCTGTGTGCCCAGCACATCTCGATGTGGACCAGCCACCTGCAGCTCATGACCACTGTCCTCAGCAGTGCGGCTCTGGACAGCGGCCGGTGGCAGGGAGGTCTCCTACCCACCGTCGTGCACACAGAGCCCGCCTCCTGTTCTGCCGTGCGGCCTCCTCCTCGGATGGCTCGTTTTGCTGCCTTACCTGGGACAGGTCTTCTCACTCTGCCCTGCGTGCTGACAAAGGCAGATTTCCATCCTTGCAACAAATAGAAAGATACAAAATTTGGGGGCGCCCTCCTTTGAGGGCTGGGGAAGAAAGAAGGGCTAGATTTCAGGTGTGTCACAGGCTTGAGGAGAGTCTCTCGTGCCCCGGGAGGGTCCAGACGGTGGCTGGAGGGACTTCCTGGCCGCAGAACCCAGCTGCACCAAGCATTCGTCACTCCCCTGTGCTCACTGTGGGCCCCAAACCCACAGGTCTCCTGGCTCTCGCACACAGGAGGGGGACTCACAGGGAGCAGCCCCTTCTAATCTGTTTCTCCGACCCTGTGAAACAGATCGCTCAGGACAGACGCAACCCCAGCCCAAGGACCCCTGGGTAACTATGGTTTAACCAAGTCTCTCCAGCACCCACGACACTGTACTTTCTCTGAACGGCCACAATCAAAAATGTCTAGAACAAGGCAAGATAATGCTCTGATGTCTAAGACACCCTCAACGCCCCAACAAGCCAAACCTGGACATCACAGGGCACCTCCACGTGCCCACAGGCACCTGACCCCTGAGAGGTGCCCATCGGCGACCTGCCCGAGACGAGGCTGACTTCTGACCCCGGAAAGAAACACAGCTTGTCTGGACACAGAGGTTTGGTTCTACGGTGTCCCTGACCAAGGATCTGCCATCTCTAGGTTCTCTGTCTCCCATGAACTGAGAAGACGGAGCAGAAGGAGAGGGAGGGTGACCAAGGAGGGCCGGGTGCCCACGATCTGTAACTCCCTGTGCAGGGAAGGATCTGACCACTTTGCCCAAAGGAGCAGAGCCCAAGTTCAGCCTGACCCGCTGCGGCCTGGGGCTGCCTTTGCTCTCTTGTCTCCACGTTATGCCCAGTTCAAGTCCCAGTTGTGAAACTTGACCCCTGGATCAAAAGCTACTTTACCTGACCTATGAAAAGGTCAGTCAGCCAAGCCCAGCCTTTGAGGACAGTTATATAAAGGTCAGCAGATACTCACATCCTGTGCTTTCTGGAAGGAAAACAAAACGAACACTTGGACACCCCAGGAAACCAGGGAGGAAGGAAGGCAGATGAACTTGACCACGTGCAAGGGCACTCACCTGAACTTCCCTGTCCGCACCTGCAGGGCTCTCATCCCGCACTGCTGGGCACCACCGACATCACCCACGATATCGTCTCCAATCATGATGGCCTGCCGGGCAGGGAAATGAGGTCAGAAGGGGTGTCAGGAGAGTTTATTCCTGAGCCCTTTCATCTTGTTGGACACAATCAGCTGCTTGATTTGATGTTTAAAACTCCTACCATACAAATTAAGCAAGATAATATTGTCATCATATTGATTAAAAGTCAACCCACCTTGAATCTATCTCCTGCTGCCCACCCTCCCCCCAAGAGCCGAGCGGCTCTGAACAGTGCCTACGTGGGCGATCTGAAATCAATCCTCAGGTGTCAAAGTGACAGCGGTGTCACCAGGACACGTGGGGAAGCTGACGCGGATTTGCCTCTACTTAAACACAGGCTGGATTTTACTTGCAGCTAAAAACTCTGTAACCCGGTGCCAACCACTAGTTCTGTGACAATTACCTAAGTTTCTGGCAAATCTTTGCAGCTCAAAATTTGGGAGTTTTTGCTTTCAATAATGAAGGCACTACCTATAAAAAACAAAATAATGTGCAAACAAATATACACACACTCACAGAGGCAATGCGTGCAGCCTGGTGATCATTTCAAAAAGCAGCCTCTGGGATAGACTCTCCCACTCACAACAACGAGAAAACCAGACAAACTATATGAAACAACAGTTTTCCAGTCACTGGACATCAAACAATGAAGGGGAATGATTTCTGGGACACAGGAAACATAGGAGGTGAGCCCCACGTGAGTGCATTCAGTTTCCAGGGAGGGAGAACCACACGGAGCCTGGCAGACTCCCTGAATTGAGCGCCAGAGCTAAGGGCTGGGAGACCAAGGCAGCTGAAGTTCCCAGGACGGAGAGTCAGAGAGGAGGGGACTGTCCAGAGAAGAGGGGTGCAGATCCTCAGAGGATCCCTCTGAACGAGGCAGCATTCTGCAGACTGATCAGCACATGTGAGTGAGGAAATCCCTTGAGGCCAGGGAGAGAATCACACTGAAAAATGAAAGAAAACAGTGCCCAGACCTCACACAGGGTTAGGAATAGTACCAGTTCCCACCAGCCAGACTGGAAAATCTCATCATTCACAGGGCACTGGGTAGCATTCTCAGGAGCATCTTGCCTCGGGAGCGCGGGAGCAATTAACTTTCGACCAAACCCTGCTCCGGCACTGCCTCCCAAGCCTCTAAAGCAGGATCTGGAAGGATCAAACTGTTTCCAAGTCATTTCAGTGCCTCCCAGAACAAAGTGCAGACGAAAATATCCAGAACCCCCAAGAAAGTAGAATTCACGTCTGGCAACTAACTTAAAAAAGTGATCAGACCTGCAAAGAAGACAAATATCACACAGAATGAACAGAAAATCAATGAGTCTAAACTGACCCAGAACTCACATAGATGTGGGAATTAGCAGACAAGGACATTAAGTTGGTTACTGCAAGTATCTTTACATAGGTTCCAAATGTCCAATGGGGACATGGAAGATAAAAGAAAAGATCCAAATTGAACTTCTAGAGATGGAAGCTACACCAGATTGTTTTTTTGACAGAGGACTGCTTTTATTTTTAATTACTAGTAACAGCGCAACTTACTGACATTTATAACAAGTGGCAAGTGAGTGGTACTAAATAATGCTTCCATTTTATTTACACTGGTAGCACATAAAATACATTATGTCTGGAATGAAAAAAATCTGCTGGAGGAAATTAATGACGGATTACACAACGCAGGAGAAAAGATTAATGAACTTGAAGCTACAATAATAGAAACTATCCAAAATGAAACCCAGAGAAAAAAATAAATCAACAAAAATGAACAGACCATCATCAAGCTATGACATAACTTCAAAGGACCCGAAACACGTGTCACTGGAAAATGAGAGGAGGTGACAGAAATAATATGTGACTTCCTCCTAGTGGCTAAAAAATTTTCCAAACACAATAGAACTGATAAATCCACAGATCCAAGACCCCAATCAACATCAAACACAGGAAACATGAGGAAAATTACATCAAGGCACAACATAATCAAACCGCTCAAAGTCCGGGACAAAGCAAAAATCTTAAAAGTTGCTGAAATGAGAAAAAAGTAGTGTTCCACAGTGAGAAACAGAGATAAGACATGAGATTCCCCACTGGAAACAATGCAGGTGAGAAGATGGTGGGCACCATCTTTAAAGTACTGAGGGGGAAAATGCCAACTTAGACTTCTATATCCAGCAAAAGTATCCTTCAAAAACAAAGGCAAAATAAAGGCATTTTCAGATACCTGAAGCTTTGAGACAACATCGCCAACAGATCCACATAAAAGAAACGTAACAGGAAGTCTCTTAGGCAAAAGGAAAATGGTACTAAATGGAAATATGGGTCTGCACAAAGGGAAAGAGAAAGAGTGACCCTTGGAATATGTTGACCTTTCCGCCTGCTCAGCTCCCTTCTTACCAGCCAACTCCTAACAGGCTTTCAAAACCACCACCTTTGAACCCAGCTTGGATCTGAGGCCCCTTCCCCCCAAAGCCCTCTGATTACCCCCTTGAACATCCCCTACTGCATTGTACTGGTTCACTCATTGTTCTTTCCAGAAATGTGTGAGCCCCTGCAGGCAGGGCTGTAGGCTGATGCTGGCACTTTGCTGATGACCAACAAAACCTCGAGTGGATCAGTGTCCTAATTTAAGGTATGGCTGTCGACATCTGGAGACACTTAGGAGGTGCAGCCAATAGGACTCCTCACTGGTCACCAAAGTAGAGTCTACTTCACTGCTGCCTGAACTTCAGTCCTTAGTGGGTCTCTTTTTGCGATATCAACATGTATTATTAATAGTATTGTTTAAAACGATTCATATTTTTTTTAACATAAATAAATGTACTTTTAAAGAAAAAGAGAACAGCCTCCCTCACTTAACTACCACAAAACTCTGATCAAAAGCTTCAAAATATTCTCAGGACAAGATTCTGCCAGTGGAAGAAAAATCCGACGCCTTAGACATCAAACATGTCCCAGATCTGTTCTCAAGTCCAGTCAGGAATTTACATGGTTGGAGGCCAGACGGGTCTGAGAAACCAGACTCCCCGTGAAAAGACAGGTGTCCTGATGCTGACAGGGTGGAAGCTTCGAAACGGAGAGTCAAGCCACAAGTTTCCCCTCTGGGATTCAGATGCCAGGTGTGGGTGGCTAACCGGTGAATAAATAAATACACAAGCCAAAATCAAGGACAATCCAAATGATGACTGTGAAGCATTCACACTGAGGGAATGAGTGAATTTGGACCCTGCCTGTGGGGACAGGGGTCCAGGTAGAATGTGTCTTCTATCTTGGCATGGGGGGTGCAGGGTAGGTAGAGGCAGGCCCTCTGTGACCAGCAGGATGGACAGACCAAGCTTAGGTTTCAGATGGGGCCAGAGCAACCAGGCTCAAATTCCAGCTCTGTTATCTGCTTAGCTCCGTGGTCTTGGGCAAGCCTCCACTTCAATCTGTAAAATGGGTATAAGTGGTGTGGCATTTAAATGAAATCATACCAACTGAGCGTCGAGGATTGTGCCTGCACGTAAGTTATCTGCATATGTTTAAAAGGAAAAAAATATTGGGAAATGTGTTGTTGGGGAAATTCCTGATGCAGCCCTGTTGGAGATAGTCCAGTCTCTAGTGGTGCTCTTGCTTCCAGTGGCCCCGCACTTTTGTATTAAGCCCTTTTGGGGACAGGCAGTGGGGACACAGGGAATCAAAGAGACGCAGTCCCTGCCCTCGTGAAGCTCCTGGTTGAATGCAGAAGACAGATGTTCATCCGAAATTTCACAAATACATAGCCAAGACCTATGGAAATGTGCAGGAGACTGTGAGGAGTAGTGGTCAGGGGAGGCTTCCTGGAGGAGGTGAGGTTTTGAGCTTCAATCTGAAGGGCAACAGGGGCCAACTAGGTTAGGAGGCAGGAGAAGGGGTGAGGGCATTCCCAACAGGGGACACCATAAATGGTAAACATCTGAACAGGCATCCAAGTAACAGGAGAAATCACGAGGCGTTTGTGGAAAGGGACAAAGATGGAGCCGGTGCCGCCCTGCAGGGCAGGCAGGTAGCTCCAGGTAAGCACGAGGCTCTTCTAACAACCAACACAGGCTGCCTCCGAGGTACCCAGCTCCCGTCGCTCGCTCATATTCAAGCAGAGGCGGGAGGGGCCTCCACCAGTGAGGCCACAGGTGGATGCCGGCCCCAGCAAGAAGCTCAGACACAGACACTGACCACCGGCACTGGCTGGCGGCCACAGGCCCCTGCCACATGCACGAGGAACATGAAAAAAACTGCATTTCTTCCAGTGAATATTCTGAACTTCATACACGTCACCAACGGCCTCTGATCTTGTCTCTAATCCCACGTTTCCCTAAGTCAGTTTTGCATTCGGGTGACACACTATTTGATTCTAGGTGCAGCAAGGACATGGCTTTTCATGTAACTATTTTGCGTTTATTTTTAGAGTGATCTCTTCATGGTAAGGAAGGGGTTCTGGTTTTCCGTTTAAAGGAGAGATCAAAGTTCCATTTGTTTGTTTGTTTGTTTATAATTTTTAAGTTTATTTATTTTGAAAGACTGAGAGAAAGCGTGAGTGGGGAGGGGTTGAGAGGAGAGAGAGAGAGGGTCCCAGGCAGGCTCTGCACTGTCAGCACGGAGCCCAATGCGGGCCTTGAACTCGGGAACCTGGAGATCATGGCCTGAGCCAAAACCAAGAGTCGGTCACTCAACCAACTGATCCACCAAGGTGCCCCTAAAGTTCCTTTCAAAATACATTTAAGTTTTTAAACATAAGTTAATTTAAAGAAAAATTAAGTGAGTAATAATGCCAGTGGCAAGTACCCAGATCGGGTAAAAACTTGGAAACTTTTTCTAGTATGATTGATGCCTGGGAGAACGCTGCCAAATCCAAATGGGTTTTTTTTTTTTTTTAATGTTTACTTACATCTGAGAGGGGGGAGGAGCAGAGAGAGAGGGAGACACAGAATCTGAAGCAGGCTCCAGGCTCTGAGCTGTCAGCACAGAGCCCTACATGGGGCTTGAACCCATGAACCACAAG